TTAATTCCTTTGTTTCAGACTCCAAAGATAACTCCTCGTAAGAAAAAATTAATTAATAAATTGGAAAAAACAACAGCTGTTGGAGAAAAAAGAAAGAAGAAATTAGCAGCTTTGCGATCCAAAACCTGGCGTTTGCAGAAGAAAACGGCTGAAATGTGTACAGTCATACAGGAATTAAAAACACGTTCATTGATTAATCAAGAGAGTGCAGATTTATTGTCTTCAATAGATGTTGTAAATAGAGATTTCTTGAAAAAGTTCTTATGTAAAGATAGTACTGCCAGAAAGTATACTCCAGAGCTGCGGAAATTCGCTTTAACTCTCCATTATATAAGTCCAAAAGCTTACAATTTTGTTCGGAAACAGTTCAACACCTGTTTGCCCCATACGCGTACATTGTCGCGATGGTTCCAGTGCGTTGATGGGGATCCTGGTTTTTCATCTGAGTCTATTAAAGCGGTAAAAATATTACATGAAATAAATAAAAATAAAAACCCGTTACATAAAACTTTATGTGCCTTAAGCTTTGATGAGATGGCAATTAGGAAAGGGGTTAATTTTGATGGAAATAACTGCATAGGTTTTGTAAATTTCGGGAATGGAGTTGTAAGCGATAGCCAGCTAGCCAAAGATGCACTAGTTTTCATGCTTACATGCATGAACGGATCATGGAAGATACCATTAGGATATTTTTTGATAAACGGTATAAGTGCTGAACAGAAAGCAGGTTTAATAAAAGATTGCATTGAGACATTAAGTCAAGACTGTGGGGTTGATATACAATATTCCCAGATCCCTCGCACATGCTCAAGTTAGTGAGAAATACGCTAGGTGAAAAGGGGCCAATCATTGATCCGCACGGCCGTGTTATATCCTGGGAGTATGTAAGATCACTTGTAGAACTTCAGGACAACGAAGGATTACACTTGGGTAACAAATTAAATAAATCTCATATCAATTTCGTTAAACAAGTAGGGGAAGATGGGTAACAGTGGATCGTGGGCTCAGATCATAGAAAGAGAATAGATATGAAGTCGCGCGTAACTACAACGAGAACCAGTGTCCCCACATTTCCCCCACCACAGCTCCCACACACACATTCAACTGTGTAAAAACAAAGCGACTGAGAGTCTACGACAACATGTGCAACCGGCTTAAAAGTGCTGTGATTGGCCAGAAGGCGTGCCTTATGGCCAATCAATGGCCGCGTGACGTGACGCACACATAGAAAACGCTAGTGAGAGAACAAAGATAAAATGGAGTCGACAAGATATCGATACTTTAAATCGCTAGGGGTAAGGCTCGAAACTGATTTCACAAAATGCTTATGTATGAAAACCTTTTTATTATTATACGTTATTATTAACTACTATCACGCATTTACTTTTTAATTATGGCGATCTGCGTACCGCATATGTTTATCAAAAATAATGCCTATATTAGGCTTTCAACTAGCTCTTATAGTAATTACATAGTTGACAGTTACTAATTACTTCTACTGTTATTATTTTTTTTGTAAAATCTTATAATCGCAAGTAACACATCATTTTTTTATTTAAAATTACAAAATAGAAAATTATAATTTACTTCTATTTATCGATAATAGGAAACCGCATTAGAACACGAGCACGGCACTATGTTACGACCGGCACATGCGGCCGTACTGTGTATTTTCACACGACAGTGGATATCGGAAGAAATTAAATACATTGCGCAGTAGTTGAGCATGACATAAAGTGGTTGCTAACTAAATCGTCAATGTACAAGTGTGTTAGAATTTTTATCACCACTGATTTCGATATCGCAGTAACTGTTACGGCACTGAATTCGTTCGTAAAAATGTTTAGTTTTTTTTATTTATAAGCAAAATACCAATGGATTTGCAATACTTACATGTAGTAAATGACTCCATTGTTCCTGTAGTTCTTCGTTTCACTTGTTTTATTGCACGTAACGACGCATTATCCAAAATATCGGAGAACATTTCCTTAGTACGACTGAATCGCGACTAACCTAGCTACGCGGCCGATGTTCGTTTCTGGGCATATCGCGGAGACACGCGCCACGCCCCCGTTTCACATCTATTCCCTTCTATGATCTGAGATCGTGGGTCACAGTGAATTACTTTGCATAACTTTGTATGTATTGCACGCACACACTCACGCGCTTGTGTGTTTGATGACCTAGCGGTGCCCCCCGCGCCTAACTAGTTGCTCGCAGTGTTTCGAAGCGGGAGGCCGCGCCGCGACTATCTCGAGCTAGGTAAGTACGAGAATAAATTTTAAGGTTATTTTCGAACACGTATTTTAAACATATTAAATTAAATTAGCTGGATTTTTGTCTTAAGGCCTTGCTCTTTAATGTTTATGGTGTTATTTTGTAAATAGATGCTTGTGATATACGCAACAAAAACTTTTTTAAGGTTGTTTTTTTGATGAAAGTATCTTTGGGTTTCACTGAATCATTTTGAATTGGGAAACAGTGGATCGAGATCCACTGTTCCCCAATTCAAACAACAATTGTCATTGTACAATTTTTTTTTTCATGCCTTTGTGGCACAGTGAATCAGAATAATTTATAATTAATGGAATTATATTTTTAAGGTAAAGATGCCGAGATACAAGAAAAGAAAGACCAGTATAGGTCTAACCACTGAAGAAGAAATGCGGAATGCCCTACAAATGATACAAAATGGGCAAAAAATAAGAGCTGTTGCAAGAATCACTAACATCCCTTTCACAACTTTATACAGATACAACGAAAAAATAAAAAATTCAACCAACGAAGATCCGTTAAGTTCGGAAAAGCTAACACCTAATTACAGTGTGCGTAAAATATTTACTACAGACCAAGAAGAAGTTTTGGCTGAATATATAGCAGAATGTTGCAAAGTATTTTATGGTTTATCTACTTTAGATGCTCGCGAAATTGTTTACGAAACCGCTGTCGTTAATAATATAGAAGTACCTCAGAAATGGCATGATACAAAGCAGGCAGGAGTTGAATGGCTATATATGGTTTTCGAAAAAGGCATCCGAACATCACTTTAAGGACACCTGAGGGGTGTAGCCTTAGTCGGGCTACATCGTTCAATAGACATAATGTCACTATGTTTTATGACAACCTAGAAACTGCAATGTCTCGACACGAAATGTTTGGGAATGGAACTTGAGTGTATAACCTTGACGAGACAAATACTATGACTGTTCAAAAATCGGCCAAAGTTTTGGCATTAAAGGGACAAAAACAGGTGTCAAAAGTCACAAGCGCAGAAAGAGGGACTCTGGATCACGTTACCGCCAGTAATGATTTTTCCGCGAGTGCACTTCAAAAATCATATGCTGAATGGTGCACCAACTGGAACACTAGGATTGGCCACGCAAAGTGGATGGATGAATAAGGAACTATTTGTCAAAGCTATGAAACACGTTATTACACACACAAATAGCAGAAAAGACAACCCTAGTCTCTTGATTTTAGACAACCATGAGTCACACATCAGCATTGAAGCTCTTAATTTAGCAACATATGTAACTTCAAACGCTAGTTACAGGTTATTCGTATATACAGGATATACATCGATGTATTGAAAACATCGATGTTTACAATGCGATACATCGAATGGATCCAATGTTTTGAAAAACTATTGAAATACCCGATGTATCGATGTTTTTAAGTTTTCAGTGTTAAAACATCGAATCGATGATAACCAATTAAAATTTCATAAAACTCAAGTCTGACCACTAAAATTTTACTTATACGGACAACCCAACTTGTATTTTAAAAATGTTGGCAACGCTGCGTATGAGTGCAGTGAGTAGTGTCTCTAGTGACAATAAAAAAAAACTGTTATGTCAATGTCGCGTCACGCGTGTCGGTTGGCGAGTTTGTTTGTGTCAATCAACAAAGAAATAGGCTGAAAGGCAAACGTTTAAATAAACTGTTGTTTTTGCAAAGTCTTCCAAAAGAACACTGGAAATAGGATATAACAAACTTAAAAAAATAAATGCGGATGTTTTTTTTTTGTTCTTACTTTAATATATAATGAAGATTTTTCTCATGTATGGCTTTTACTGTTTTTTAATAATACAATGCTTAAATTAGTGGATTATAAAAAATCTTAAAAAAGTACTCGATTTATATAAAACATCGATGTTTTCTTCCAATACATCGAAAGAAAAACCCCTAATACGCCTTGATAATTATTTATTTCACATAAAAATATTGTACAGTTCGCATTTATTGTAAATTATCATGGATCCTGGGTTAGTGAAAGCAGAAAGCACAAATCTGCCCAAAATCGACACATTGATGGTTGCAAGACGATGAAGATATTGATAGGGAACGTAGGGCGCTGTCGGTCAGGGCGAATATGTTGGCACATAGATTTGGTCGCTGCACAGATACTGTTAAAATTTTAAAGCATATTGTGTGTCATTTTATTCGTGCAGCTTATGGACCAACTATACCAAAAAGGCCTACAGTGCTCTGCGTGTCCAATACAATAACGCCTTCAGGGCGCTGTTGCGACTGCCGCGGTTTTGTAGTGCGTCTGCGATGTTTGCGTTGGCGGGTGTAGATAGCTTTGAAGCTATAATGCGCAAAAAGTGCGCATCATTACTGCACAGAGTGCGCGGCAGCTGCCACAGCGTACTGAAGGAGATAGCCGATAGTGGGGATTGTCCACTGATCGGCCACATGCTCAGCAGGACGAAGTCTGTTTTAGAAATAAGATACTAACATAGCCTAAGTTTTTACTAACATTATGGATCCATGTTATCCGAAATAAATACTTTTTATTATTTTTTTATTTTTAAAATGTTATGCTTCAAATCCTGATTTCTGCTCAGCTGAGCTAAGGAATGTTAAGATAACTAAGTAAGTACAGTTCATTTACAACTTTTTTTTTTTAATTTAGACCACATCATTATAAGGAAATAAGTAATATAACCTCTGACCAACTATTGCTAAATTATTATATTATTATTGCAGAAGAATCATATGGTGATGATGCAATTGGTTATGTTCAACTTAAAAGGGAAAGTAAAATCTGCACTGTGAAATGTAAAATGTGTCCTAAACATAAGGTGCGCTCTAAGCAGTATACAGTTTCAGCAGTCATTTATGAAGAAGAAGAAGAGATTACAGTTCTTTGTCAAGATTGTCCAGCTGCAGCAGGGGGCTGCAAACATGCTGTTGCATTTTTAATGTGGTTTCATCGTCGCAGTGAAGAACCATCTTGCACATCAGTACAATGCTACTGGAAAAAATCCAATCTTTCAAAAGTCGGCAGCACAATTAAAGTGTTAACTGAAAAATAAATGTGCAAAAGAAAACATCAGGTTCCGGAACCAGATACCAGTATTATGGAGGAATTTGTAATTGAATGCAAAAACCGAAAAATTAAATAATGTCAGTTTATCAAGCATGTTGGAGATTATGAAGAGGAAAAATTAATATTATCTTTACATTATTTAGTTAACCTTTAACCGACGACGTGATTTTTTTGTCACTGCGACGTGCGGTCTGTGGGACCGCTATACTGTTTACTCAAAAAGTAATATTTTTTTTGTATAAAAGTATATTGGTTTTATATTTTTTGAGAACATTATAGTATTACAAATAAACATACGTATAATTTGCGAGGAATCAATGTATATTTTTTATTTAAATATGGCTAAAACTTTTTTGACCCTTAATTTCATTGAAATTACACTAGAGCTCAATAATACCTATATAACTTGTAAATTTTAATCAAAGCAAGAAAAACTATACTCCTTCCTAAATATAGTGAACATAATGAATAAAATAAAAATAAATGACACGTACAATACATGCACAAAAAAAAATTGACGTAGGGTAAACATCAGGCAAAATCAGGACTTTTTTTTACTGCATGCCAAGCATTTTCGGAATGCATAGGTAACACCTGTAAGATAATTTCGTTTTCAATTTAGATGGACTAAAATGTACGTCTTTTTTGCAGCTGGTGCAACGACATCAGGCTGATTTGGCATGTCAGAGCTTAGAATACAGTCACTGTTTGCTTTACCACCCGTTTCGCGGTATTTTTTTTACAGACTACCATCTTTTACATAATATTATGTTCAAATATCAATATATCATTAGGAAATGTCTTTTCCTAGGTTGTGGTGGCCCAGGATCCATCATTTTTACGAAAAATTAGTCGTCTAAAACAAAAACGCCATTTTCAGTATGGTACAAAAATGTCACGTAGTCTGCGACGTGCGGTCCCACAGACCGCTATTGAACTTTAAATCGAATTATCTTATTAAAACTGCCCTCGTCGATGTAACCACTACCTGTAATGGCGTTTGGGCAACTAAACTCGAAGGTACTGAGACGCTCGGGACACGGGAGTAAGTAGAACATTGCAATCCAGAAATTTCAAAAACCGGAGCGGTCTGTGAGACCGCACCTCGTCGGTTAAAGGTTAATACATACAAAGAATCGACTTGTGATCATTTTCTTTCAAAAACTAAACATCTCTTCAATGAAGAAAATATAGTCTGCAGAAATTCAAACCAGAAATTAAGAAACTATTCTTGTAAACAATACGCGTGACTATCATCATAGCCTTTTTGTCGGAATTTAAAACCATTGCTTCGAAAGGATTACATGATAAATATAGTAATTACCACTATTGTATCGTGCAGGAATGTAAGAATACATCAATAAAGAACCCAGTGAAGTTGTGGATTGAAGTACACAGTGATGAGAATATGCGAAACACCTGGTTACAACTAGCTAAAAGAGATCCCGTAACTCTGTCCAGTGGAACTGCAGATACAGTCACGCGTATTGTTTACAAGAATAGTCACGTCACGGCACAGATAATATAATTAATAGACCATCATGGCGGACGGCGTTTATGGCTGTACAGCGAAAATATAATTTAAAATATATCGACTGCTGCAACAAACAGTATCGAATCTGCAAAATTACCTTTTTTATTTTTATTGTACTAATTGTAATAGAACACGTTATATTTTGAAGTAAAATTTTTTAATTATTTTTTTTTAACTATTTAATCAACTTTTAAATTGTACAAAATCGAAACTTCACATTTTAAGCGACGAACATGAACGACTGTGGTAAATTAGATACTATTCCAACGCGATGGTACGCACGCACAGTTTGTTACTGCCCGAGTCGTCAGTGTTCACCGCGATGTGAGAGAAGGAGGGCGCGTCGTCTTAGGTTACTAAACTTTTCAGTTGTTATTGTTAGTTTATGGTTTGTATTATAGTCGAAGTTTAAAAATGAATAGCCGCGGTAAATATTTGGTTAATTTAATTAAAAAAGACGAACAACGCCAGCGTAGTGAAACCACGCCCAACGAAAAAAATGACGATCGTCCGGGTAAGTGATATTTAATATAATAAATATAACTACGAAATTGGTTATATTAATAAATCTGGTGATTTGATCTTTTAAAATTATTAATAACTATGTTTTTTTCTTATCCTCGTGACCAAATTTGAGGTTAACAACTTAAACTATCGAAATTGGTAGATTTGATTGTATTTCTAGGTAAATATTTTTTGGAAAATATTGTAAGTGGCAGTTTCGATAGTTTACGCATACGTTTCAAAACTGAGAATTATTGAATGTGGTACTTTCGATAGTTTACTTTATATTTATCGAATTTACCAGTTACTATACTGTTCTACGCTAATTTTTGGTTAGATGACAGATCCAATTTTAATTGACATTAATTTTTAACTGACTAAAAAACTTTTTTAGTGTACCTACTAGTGGCTTTATTATGTTTTAGGTAAATTAAATATTTTTTTTATTTTATTTTAGAATCCCCTGCATACTACAAGGATTATACAGAGGAAGAATGGAGGATATTGAATGATATTTATGAAGATGTTTTTCCAACATCACAAATAGAATCAGATGATGACGAGACTAATGATATCCAGGCAAATGACTCCAACAGCGTTATACTTGCCAGCGAAGAATGCACACCAGTGCCATCACCCAACTCTAGACAAGACTTTACCTTGGGGTCATCACCAACGAATGACCCAGTTAATACGCTAAATAAAGACGACGAAGAAGGGATACCAACACCATTACCCTCTTCCGAACAAGAAAATAACTTCGGGTCACCACCAACTGATAACCCTGTTACTACTCTAAATAAAGAAAATGCGCCGATTGCACTTTTTTCCGAACAAAACGACCTCAGTGCAACAACGCCACCAGTACCGGAAGACCATAACATACCAAGCATAAATTCACTAATTTCGACATCTGATAATGACAATCCTTCTACTCCTAATTCATCCACTACGCGCAAACGCAAACCAACTTACAAAACCGATCCTGGTCGTAAACGAAAACTACTAATGTACATATTTCAATTCATGGTGGAATATTATAACATAGATAACAGTAAAGTTTTGTGCTCTGACACGAACCACGACACCATCCACAGGTTGCTTTTGATTAAAAGCATTATTAAAGCTTTTATAGACCTACGATTTAGGTATTACGGGAGAAAAGCAAGTGAAAAACTTTCATATCGGAATTATTTCAATAAATTGATATTGTTCAGAAATGAATAAATTATGTAAATCGCATATACTTCGCTGTTTCATTACTTTTGAACCAATAATTTACCTAATAATAATTTTAATTAACGTCAGGCAATCATGAAATGCATTGTTCACATACTTTAATTTGGTTTTAGTAAGGTGTTCGAAGTGACTACCTATTGCATTATCTGGTGATTTTCTCCCATATGAACTCAGTTTTTTCGCTGATTACTTTAGTGGGCGGATACAATATTTAATTCATGAAAAAGCTCATTCTGCACCGTATCCAGTGACGTCAGGTCAGGTATTGGATAAGGTAGCAGTCCTGGTCCCCTCTTATTTTTAATAATCATTAATGATTTACAAATTACCAGATACTGTTAAATATTCCATTCCACCGTACTAATGTTTGCAAACGATGTAAAATTTGCAGCGACTATTCGCACCCCATCTGACACGGCGTTTCAATGTAGATACTATTCACAAAACTATGACCTTAAAAGCTTGATATAGTCATCGTTGTCATCAGCCTATAATATAAACGACCCACTGCTGGGCACATGCCTTCTCTCATTACGTAGATTGATATACTTAGGTTTTACTTTCGATCACTATCTCGTTTTGTTTTGAGCCGTAGTTTTAGAAATAAAGCGACATAATATTCTACCCTTAAAGAATTATCCGTAGTAACTCAAATATCGATATCGACTCTTTGGTTTCGCACAACCCTTCGACGCCATTTTAGTTACCGAGTTTAGGTATGCACGCATATTTCGTAGGTATTTCTAGTCCATATAGTAGGTCTGTGAAAAATAGTGGCAACTAGCCTATTATTATATTCCTAATCTTGCCAGGGTGTTCAAGCCACTTACACGGAAATAAGTTGGATTTTCCCTTTGTGACCACGAAAATAGTATGATTGACTTTACTGTTGAACAAATTAAGCATGTGTTTTCATTTGTAAATGTATACACAAGCCTTTCCTTGATTTCACAAGTAAGGAATCAGTTGAACAATGGATGACCATTTATTTGGGTACTGGATGGGGATTACAAAACAAAACTTCCTTCTATTACTAGAAGATGTTAGAACAACACCGTGGTTTATTAGGTCTGTTTGACAATTTGAATTGAAGATTCTAGGTCTGTTTGACTTTACTAGAAGTACCTACCGCGTAGAACATTAGAAAGACTGATGCATTCTGTAAGAGAAATTTTACTGGAAGATTTTGTTCCACGCAACTTTGGTTCGACGCCCCCAGTGACGCAACAGTTTTAAGTTCGGAAGGACGCCCGTGCGCATCAGCGGTGTGTTCTTTAATTCGGAAACCATATAAGCGTTTGTTAATTTCCAAAATCAAGTGAATCTAGTGAGTGCGGGATCCATCCCTTTTGGAACTATGGTCTTTTTGATCAATATGTGCTAATACTTCACCAACAAACTGCATTTCGGAGATACGCCGGGCCCGGCTAAGCACGCGGCTGGCACTGAGAAGAGGTTTGTTCGCCGTTTGTTTTGAATATTTAGTATAGCTAACACTTGGGATAAGTCATTTGACACGAGAACAATAAATTACTAGAACATGATACCTGTGAGTGTCATGTGCAAGTGGAGACTCCGCATCAACTAGCACCACATTGGCAAGAGTCGAAATGCTAATGGGTGTTGTCTGCATAATTTTCATCATCATCGCCACTCTCTATTTGGTGAAAAGATGTATGGCTCGGGGACGCAAAGCCATGGCCAAGGAATCGGCGAAGATGGCAGCGGCGAACATCCCAATGACACCGACGGCGGCGGCTCAAACCAACCCTGCGTTCATCCCATGAAGAATAGAGTAGTGGAGTGTAGTGTCAATGTTGGGTGTTGTGCCCAAACCATGAAGTGTGCTGTGAATTGGCTACAAAACAAAATTTGCAGATACATTTCAAATGTAGCACATGATGCGCTGCCACATATTTCTAAAAGCAAGGTCATAAACAGTAGATCATACGTCTAATATATGTTTCTATTAATATCAAAATAATTAAATACTTTCCTACTTCATACTAGCGCCGTCTAGTAATAAGAATATGTACTAATATGAATGAATATTTGTGCTAATTAAAAATAAATAAATATTGTCTATTCTCAACCTAAAACTCATTCGTTTGGTTTCAATCGAATGGTGTCAAATATTCTCTCTTACAACTGAAACTGTAATAAATAGACTGATGCAAGGTGATTGTCGTAAGCAGGATCTACAAAATGGAGCACAATGCATTTGTCAGTACGGTAAAAGATATAGGAAGATAATAATTGAAATTGAAATGATCATTTATAAAGTTCTCGATATGAGAAATACGCATCATTATTGAAACGGGACAGAACTGTGCCTCTGAAAGATGCAGTATGTGGACCCGAGCAAGAAAAGTTTTGTATTTCTAGTGGCTTGTCGATAAATTTTTTTTCTGATGGATGCACATACCAGATTAGAAATGTCTTTTTAAGGAATGCATTACTTTTGAGTTCTTGGAGTCATTAAACAGTAACTAGCAGTATTTCAAGAAATACCGAAATTTTGATATAACCGGTAATTGAAATTTCAATACCGGTATAAAACTTATTCCGGTATTCCATATCCCATCCATATGTAAAACACGTGAATATTACCAAAGATGTATGGAAGATTTGGAACAAGCTTATGAAATGAAATAAATCCATAAGCCGTCGATTGGCTCTGAAATGGGATTTACAGAAAATTCAATAGGAAGCATTTGAAGCATTTCCTTCATTGGAAAAATACATACAATACAACAACTCTCTCTAAGTTTTCGATATGAGAAATACGCATCATTATTGAAACGGGACAGAACTGTGCCTCTGAAAGATGCAGTATGTGAACTCGAGAAAGAAAAGTTTTGTATTTCTAGTGGCCTCTGTCGATAATATTTTTTTCTGATGGATGCACATACCAGAATCGTAATGTCTTTTTAAGTAATGCATTACTTTTGAGTTCTTGGAGTCATTAAACAGTAACTAGCAGTATTTTAAGAAATACCGAAATTCCGGTATACCGGTAATTGAAATTTCAATACCGGTATAAAACTTATTTCGGTATTCCATGCCCTATCCATATGTAAAACACGTGAAAATTACCAAAGATGTATGGAAGATTTAGAACAACCTTATGAAATCAAATAAATCTATAAGCCGTCGATTGGCTCTGAAATGGGATTTATAGAAAATTCAATATGAAGCACTTGAAGCATTTCCTTCATTGGAAAAATACATCGCACATAAAATGTATGTATCACAACAACTCTCTGAAATTGGTTGCTTGATAGATAATGAAGAGTTAGCAGAAATCATATTAATAGGATTACCTGGCGAGTTTGCCCAACTAATAATGGCCATCGAAGGGTCTCAAATTACTCTGTCACAACTGAACTTGTGATAAATAGACTGAAACAAGGTGATTGTTACGACAATCACCATACCAACACAATCAGAAGCAGGATCTACAAAATGGAGCACAATGCATTTGTCAGTACGGTAAAAAAAATATAGGAAGATAAATAATTGAAATGATCATCACCTTCAATCAATTGGATCAATACATTTTTCTATTCTCCCACTTCTGCCCACATAACAATCTTGATACTTCGGATACCTTGATTGACCTTATACTAACTTCCTCTGCTGACCTCGCACTGTAGCACTTGCCCTTACCCCTGGATTCTCTAGACGCGATCTCAATACAAACTTGAATCAGTACATTTTTTCTGCCTACACACACACGTCACAATTTGATGCTTCGGATACCTTGATTGACCTTATCCTAACTTCCTCTCTTGACCTCGCACTGTAGCACGCTCAGGTACTTGCCCTTACCCCTGGATTCTCCCGACATGACGTTCAACCTACTTGAAAAACGCTTAGGAAACCTTTTAACTGCTTTAAACTTTGGGAGAGCGGTGAAAGTCTGTGAAAATCTTGTGTAAGATAATATATTGAATATAAGGAATCAATAAAGCATGGCAAATACAATAAAGAAAAAGTGCTGAAACAACTAGCATTACAAGAAAATGACCAATTTACTTATTATTAATTCCTTGTGGTCTTTTTATAGACGAAGAAATACAATATCTTGGAGCTACACCAGATGGCTTAATTGGAGAAATTAAATGCCATATAACAGTATTCAACAAAAGCTTCAAAACGGAAATGTAAAATAAAAATGTCCATTTTACAAAATTAATAAGCCAGGAGAAACGGTCATAAACCTCTTGCAAGTCTTCGTATACGCAATAAAATAACTAAATATATTTTACGGAACAGTTCGCGATTTTGGCCTGAAGAAAAAACTTAACCTTTCATCAACATTCCACCGGCAAAATGGTAACAGGTATCAACACATTTTCTCTAGTCTTGAGAAAACTAAAGGACATCGAAAATTAAAATTTGGAAATTCATGATGAAAATGATGCTGATCCATAAGGAAGGGAGGACCTATGAGATTTTTTGGAGAAGGAGCCGACGCGGACGGATACGGAACACGCCAAGAACTTACAAAAGGCACATTACCCGTACAACCTGCTGCATTTGCGTCTGCAAAAACTGCACACTAGGCATGGAAATGCATTGTTTAGTACAAAATTAGAGAACCAAACTATGGAGAACTTTATCAACAAAATCTTTGAAATATCACAACAACGCATACCTGTTATACATATACAGGAACAACTACATATCAACCATAAGTCTAGCTAAATGTTTGTTTGCCATTAGGACGTGAGAGGATCGACCACGATGGATAGAATCAATTTTCAAAGACGAGTTCTTGGGAAATGAAATGAAGGAGAAATTGTGTCACAGGATGTCTGCTTTCTGAACTGGTCGATCCCAGGATACCTCGAAATCAGAAAATAAGGGGCCCTGAGTTCATTCTTTCATACGATCTTCCATCTTACTCCGTGATTGTTCGCCGTGGCATCCTGAACCTGAATATCAAATCAAAATTCAAGTCGTCACTCAAGATCATTCAAGTCCCCGTAACCTTGAGCTACAGCGTCCTTATCGCATCGGAATGTTCCTGGCCGCAGTTGCGTTCTTATCTATTGCCCACGTTTGATGTTGGGAGATATTACAAAAGAATCAGTTTCCTTGCAAAATCGAATTGAGAATATAAAAAGTGAATAAATAAGTACGTGGGCCAAAGGGAAAGAACAACCCATAAACTACTGCTTGGTTAATGATAAACTTTGGTTAGAGCTAGACTTTCATCCTTAACTAATATCAGTACATTTTCCTATACTACCAATTCTGCCCACACAGATCACTTCTTCATACTTCGGATACCTTGATTGACCTTATACTAACATCCTCTACTGACCTCGCACTGTAGCATGCTCAGGTACATTGCTTTTACCCCTGGATTCTCTAGACATGACCGTCATCCTCTGAATCATTTTCTTATTCTCACACTTCTATCCTCATAACAATCTTGTTGATCCTTCCGATACCTTGATTGACCATATACTAACTTCCTTTGCTGACATCGTACTCTAGCACGCTCAGGTACTTGCCCTCACCCCTGGATTCTCTAGCACGTTAAGCGCCGAGGTACTATCGGGGACTCGAACGCCTTGACANACTTGGCCGGTTTTTTACCTGTTCTTCTTACCTATTTTTTTAAAAGTTAAATCATATGATACATATACACTGGCCCCTAAGACTGAATTTATGGAAAGTAAATCTCAGGGGCCTAGATATCATATGATACACACTACTTTCCTGCAACTATGAGTTACCCCACCCCTTGATTTAACATGTATTTTTATCTCCTTTATTTCAGATTATCGACAAAGAAGAACTCATGAAGACAAAGACGGGAAATGCTACGCAATCATGGACTTTTCAAGTGACGATTCAGTGGATGACCCGGATTACGAACCTATAGTTCACTTTAGTCAATATCATTTTGATAGTCCTAGTTCAGAAGATGATAGTTCTGATAATATCCCTTTAGCCCAGTTGAGGATGCTTTAGTGGTCGACCGAATATGGATATTCAGCCGAAACCGAAAATTTTCCATACGTACTTTTATTTGGTTCATTTGAGGTTAGGTTTCCCAAAACAATATTTTTGCCCCACAAATACGTCAAAAAAAAAAAAGAATATTCTAGACGTGGATGTTGGTTTCCGGTAGTGAACATACTTCTGTTTACATCCGGTTTGTAGGCCGAAGCCTCTTTCTCGGCCGTTACTAACGTACGTTTGCTACACTTGCAACCTTGCATCACTCATTTGATACAATCCGGGAGTGAATACCATCGAAATTCGTCATGGGAAAAAGAAAGCATAGTGCAACTTAGTGAGGAGGTGAGGAAGTCAAAAGAGAAGAGAAGAGGATCAAAAGAAAGTTAGAAAAGTGGAAGAGGCGACTGAAGAAGGCTGAAGAAGACATGGACGAGAGGAGGACCAACTGTAGTACACCACCACCGTCCACACTCGAGGCATCCAAAGATGACACCATCTCAATTAGTTCAGGTACACAAGAAACGTTACTGATAATTTGTACTTATTATTTATTACCATTGACTTAATTTTGATGAGTATTATCAGAGCTATCACTTAGGGGATAGACAGGCGAACACTAATTATTACCTACTAGCTGACCCGGCGAACTTTGTTCCGCCTTAATGGCAATAAATAAGCAGACTTTTTTTTTAATTTCGAACGGGATAAAAAGTATCCTATGTCCTTCTCCTGGCTCTAAACTACCTCCCTGACAATTTTCAGCTAAATCGGTTCAGCCCTTCTTGAGTTATAAGCGAAGTAACTAACACGACTTTCTTTTATATATATAGACTAGCTGACCCGGCGAACTTTGTTCCGCCTTAATGTCAATAAATAAGCAGACTTTTTTTATTTCAAACGGGATAAAAAGTATCCTATGTCCTTCTCCTGGCTCTAAACTACCTCCCTGACAATTTTCAGCTAAATCGGTTCAGCCGTTCTTGAGTTATAAGCGAAGTAACTAACACGACTTTCTTTTATATATATAGATTAGAGCTTTCACGCTGAGGATAGACATGTTTCTTATATTTACCTTAGAGCTATCACTTTGAGGATAGACTAAATCATGTGGGTACTGCGTCAATCTTATAATAAAAATTAAAATTCCAGACAAGGAAGAAATCGAGGCAGAGCTATTGGAAGCTCTCGGTCCAGAAGGCACAGATGCAGTGGAACCGGGAGAACCAATCCATCAACATTTGGCTACTAGATGGAATAATGTCATAAGAGAGAGATTAAAAAATCCTCAAGAAATACCCAGTTCATGAAAATTTCACTGCGGCAGCTCCTGTCTTGAATCCTGAAATTAAGACAGTAATGTCAGAGGTGGCCACAAAGAGACATAATAGATTAGCTTGGCGACAGAATCTTACAGGGAAAATTCTTATGGCTATGGGAAAGACCCTAACTAATATAATGAAAGGCAACATCAACACGAGGGATATTGTTGAACAGCTCAACAATGCGGCTAAGATCGGAGCTGATTTATTCCATCAAGACTCAATGTCCAGAAGATACTTTGCCCTGGCAGGCCTTAACCGTCGCTTACAGGTAGGCTAGTTTAATCTCATAATTATTCGCAACTTTGATACAAATAGTATAAAAGAGGCGATAGAGCGAAAACCAAGGTTCCAATAATTTGAAAGAGACAACTCTATTGAGCAAAGTCAGCTGACGATGCTGAAGACGGCGGACGGTAACGTCAACAAAAGCCGAGGTTCTGGGTGAGATCGAAAATATTTATGGACAGCTATATGTATACCTCCAAACCTGTTAATAGCTCAGTAATAGACGCAAGAGCTAGGTTAACGCCACACTATACTAAGGACATCCTGTATATCAGCCTATACAAGATTACGAAGGCTCTCAAACAGCTTAAGAACAACAAGGCACCAGGTGATGACGGAATAATCTCACGGACGGATTAATCTATTTGCAGATTACCACATCATTACTTTATTACTGACAATAATGAGGGTAGTTAATAAATTATGATTTAATGAGGGTAGTAAGGTAATTAACGTGCATATATATTTCCTAATAAACTTTCTTGCAATTCATTGTGCTTTTGATCTTACGAGTGAAAACAGTAACTACTTACGGAAAATATCTGTACTAACTTAGATTTGTTTGTGATTTTAAAAACTTTATCCGGCCGGAATGCTGACATGTTCCGAAAGACCTACGAAGATTGACTTGAGACAACTATAAATTGGCCAAGCTGTATCCAGAGCTACGGAGCATCGACATCTTGTGTTCATGACGAAGAATTGCCATCATCATCATCTGTTGGTACTATGACCAAAAGAAAATTACCTCGCAAACCTTTTAGGGACTTAGGGACTAACCAAAAGAAAAGAAGTGGTGATTTGGATGCTGAATGCAGTGAAATAGTGTTTGCAGCAGTATCGAAATTTAAGGAAGATAGAAAGGACAATATAGCTTCAGTTATTGAATATAATATGTTGAATAAGCCAGAAACAGTAGATCATTTTTTAGAAATAATGAAAAAGTCATTGAGCAATAAAAAAAGTTTACGCCCCTAAAAGCTCTTGGCTTATTGATATCACTCAAGCTTTCAAAGTGGCAATATATTACATTGAGGGAGACAGCTATTCGGGAAGGTGTTAGCGACTTCAAGTGCAAAAAGAGGAGAAAGAATGTTATCCTCCTCAAATTCTATCGCAGTAACAGACTTGTCGGCCAGAGAATTTCCTTGCAAGTTTTACTCGACATAACAATAAAGAGAATATTTAAATCTTTGCCCGAGGATTTAGAAGGGAATAAAATGATTCTAATTCCTAAATGGGGCTTTGATGGTGCATCTAGCCAGAGCAGGTACAAGCAGAAACTAGATTCACCACAAAGTGACTCCAGCATCTTCATGATGACGTCATTAGTGCCTTTAAAAATAACTTGTGAAGGGGTCACAGTTTGGGAAAACCCAAATTTTCAAATTCATAAAAGTAAGCGAAGCAATTGTAAAGGAAGAAGTTTCAAGGATAAATGAAGAAATAGCAGCACTCCGCCCAACCGAGTATGAGAACCGTGTAACCATCGATAATAGTTGCTTTGATGATGCTGTTCAGAATATTAAAGCTCAGTAGCAAAGAATTACTGATATCTTAGAAAAGGATTCAAATGCTGCATATACAAACATTCTTACTAAGTTTGGATCTAATTTATCGAAGCTGCAAACTCCGTCAAGTATTATATTATCATTTATTTCTGAAAAAACTGTCCGAAGAAGATCTCAAAAAATTCTTATACTTACAACCAACATCGATCGCTCGCCGCAAAGAAAGAGGTCTACCATGCAGTGGAAGAATTCAATCAGGACGTCCAGCCAAGTCAGAAACAACAAAGAAAAGAAAGCGTGTTCATGATATTGCATCAAATATTAATGATAATGAGCCTCCTGCTAAAAGACACTGATTTTACAAAAATAAATTGATTGTATTTTTTTCTTGTGTAAGTATGTTGATCACGGTGCATGCGTGCGTGACACAATTTTGCTGTAATAAAAAATAATTTAAAAACCCGAATTATCTTGCTCATCTTTCACATCTAATGCCCCAAAATAAACACGGATTTGTGGCGTTCAATTGTCGTATGCTAATGACAAACCCGTGCGCCGTTGAAGGACTCGTGCCTGGAATTAAACACGAGTTTGGAAAGGAAATTCGCGCGACAAACCTGTGCGTGTTTCGAGGCAGTACTGCCTCCTTTGCACACGGAAAAGGAAATACACGTCCCGCCGCGCGTGACGACTAGAACACGCCAAGACCATATGTCTGACAACAGATATGTGGTCTTCAAAAAGTAAAGATTCCTATCTGGCCGTCACGGGTCATTACATAGATAGTGAGTATAAGTTGCAAAGTGTATTGCTAGAATGCAATGTTCTTGAGAAAATCCACACGGGGGCAAACTTAGCGGAAGCCTTGGAAAAAATTGTTCAAGATTGGGGAATAAATGACCGAATACTGCTACTGGTATCAGATAATGGCGCCAATATAAAGAAACGCTATAAACATACTGAAATTGAAACATTTCGGCTGCTATTCCCACACACTCAATCTGGCTGTGCAAAAAGCGTTGGGAAGCGAGAGCCGAGATACCCTGTTGCACCAAGACCTCTGGATTCAATCCGCTACGACAATGTGGGTCATTTACCAATATTAACGACTCAAGGCAGGTGCAAAAANATGTGGTAGAGACGGAGTCTGCACATTTATGCGGACTACTTGAGCATTGGTTGGATAGGTCGGGATAAGGCCCAGCTACACCGGCTCCTACCTCTGCTCAATCAGACGGAGATTGGTGGATTTTTAGTGGGTAGGCCCCTCCCTTCAGGAGGGGAGAGTCCCACATAACCCGTCGCCTTACCACAGGTGCAAAAATTGTAAAAAGGGTTACACAAGTGTTTGTTGTGTCAAATGCAACCTTAGGTTGTGTAAGATTGAGAAACGGAATTGTTTTTATAACTACCATGTCCTGTCTGCCAGATGGTTTCAAATTCTTTGTAAAACATGTTTTTTTAATGCAGGTTTTATTTATCTCTACGAAAAATATACCCCTTTTTTAATGTGCGGCGGGAGCCGCCGCGCGAAACTTAGCTCTAAACTTAAGAGCTAAGTTTCATCCAAGGCAGAATCACTCAAGCGCATGAGATTGGATAAGTCAGGAAGTTATCATGCAGGTGTATCAAAACATCTCAAAGCTTCATTTTAAATTCATTCATTGAAGCAAAACAAAAAAAAACTCACACCATCGGGGAGGATTTAATCAAACCACGTATCCTTAAAGCCACGAAAATAATATAACATCTTCAGAAGATGACATTTTTGTTGGGAAACCAGACGAAGAGGACTCTGATATTACTTATTGTAGCTCGGAGCCAAGATCATATTATTATCCGTCTTCCTTAGACCGATTAACATTTTTTTCCGGATCTGAATCGTCACGTGAAATTAACGATTTAAAAAATGTAGAAACAAAAGAAACTTCTACTGATATGTTAGATTTTGGACTTTCTTCACTTCATGCGCGTATAAATTTAATGGAATGCCTTTTACACATTTCATACAGACTTGATACGAAGAAATGGTCTGTGAGAGGCAAAGCTGAGCAAGAGTTGAAAGATGCCAGAAAAAAAATATACAATCGCTTTAAATCAGAGCTCGGCCTGCTTATTGATGTGGTAAAACAAGGCCATGCTACCACCAACGATGGTAACACAGCGAGGAGGTTCTTCGAAGATCCGGTGAAAACTGATGCCATAACAGGGCTCGATGCATATGACATTCGATACTACACAAACGGTCCTTAGCTTCACAACCAACAAATCGATGTTGTCATACAATAAAACGATAGTGTTCGAGGAATGTTGCCATTGATTGGAAAAATAAATCTATTATAATATTTATCAGCAAGTGGACGTCATTTGGCTGAAACGACAACTAATATTGTTTGAATTTGAATTAGAGGTACTGGTTTGATTTGAAAAAATCATCTTTGTTGGCGAGCACTTGTAGTTTGTTTTTACTTACTCACGCTAGAGAAGCTACCAGAGAGACAAAAAAAATTAAAATCAACCACAGGATAAATCACAAAATTAACTCTATCTCCTAAACTAAGCAAAATCGTAGAACATACATGGGGGTGATTTAGGTACACCTTGATGTGAGGAATCTAAATTTTAGCTTTAAACGTCAACTCCCTGGTCACCCTGTATAACATCACCCTACAGCAAATAGGAGCGGAGCAGTAAAGAAAAATGTTGCAAAAACGGGAAATATTATTCAAATTATTTTCACCCGTACGAAGTCGCGGGCACAGCTCAATAAACGACACAACTCTTCTCTCACCAGCGGACAGGATAGAAATGCTATTAAAATAGACGCCTGTCTACAGTCAACCCTGCAAGACAGAGACAAATGGAAGAGGAATCAACCCATCCCTACGACTAAAATCTGTCCGTCAGTCACTGTCAAATTTCAATATGTTTTTGGTCGAAATATTTACGCGTTTTCGATTCGTAGTTCAAATTTTAAGATTTACATACACACTTTACAAAAAAAACATTGTTAAATAAAAAGTATCTCAGTTTAATAGTTGTGTCACATCCTATTATTACTAACAATAGTAACAATATTTTTAACTATATACATTACAACAGACTTTCATTCTTAAAAAGGTTTATGAACATAAATTCTTACATCTATTCATATGAAAATAAACATATTTATAATTTCCTCTCTCAATTTCCTCAGGCTGAAGTCTGTGACCGATGTTGGTAGTGCGTACGAATATACACTAGGGCTGGGTTGCACCAACTTACTTTGATTTTAACAAACCTCAAAAACCTGTCAAACTCCATACAAAATACATCAGTTATCGTTATAGTCACGGTTAAAGTAAGGTGGTGCCTCAGCCTAGGTCTATTGCAGCTGTCGACAGCGTTGCAGTGCGGTGCTTTATAGAACTAGTGTGCGCGCGCCGCACTATGGATCGAACATTATATTTTTGGACATAGCGATGTTTTTCATAATTTCTATTATCAAAAATTACCAATCGATAGGTTACGTCATTCTGATGAATAAATGTCATCAAAAGTTTTTCTCTTAAAGTGATAGTTTGGCTGGAAAAAATATTTTCCATTTTCGTTGTATGGAATGTAACATAAAGTGGTCGATTTTGACCAAGTCTTGACAGATCTTGCTTTAAAACTACTTGAGCCTTGTTCTATGGTTTGTTGACTATAATCTTACTTGATCAGCGTCTAAAGTTGCCCGTTCAGAAGTTGAGGTTTCAAAAATGAAAAAAAGTAAGTACGTTATTCTGATGAATATATGTTGTTAAACCTTTTCCTCGAAAAGTTAATAGTTTGGCTGGAAAACAATATTTATAAATCTCATTTTCGATCATAGTGCGCCGCCAGCGTCGGTCGACGACGTCAGTCTAAGAGGAAATAAATCCTTAAGGTTCGGCCAAAACAATGCGTAAAGACTGCGTGCGAACAACTTTTGCATGCGCAGTGATCGCTACTCGCTATCGCGCACGCAGGCTGCACGTGTTGGTTTGGCCGAAGCTTTAGTAATATACTCAACATCAAATAAAACGCACCTTCCGCGAACTTTAACGATTTTCTTCTGACACAATCATGGTACCCCAACAAAATTGGTGTTATTTGAAAGCCCAATAAATATCCTTAAAGAAAAACACATTTAATTTCTTAATAAATGATTAACATATACCATAAATGTGACTTGAAAAAATACCTCACTTTGGGCCCACCTATGGGATCAATTAGACCAATTTTTATGGTTATAAAACCAAATAATGATTTCACGTATCCTCTTTAACAGATGGATAGCAATTAAACCCAACTTAACAGTTTTATAGCCATAAAAGTTGGCTCTAGCGTAACTACCCATTTTTTGAAGAAGTGACTCTGGATCCTTCTAAAGATACATTTTTGGGGTAAAAACCTTTCCTTTAATGAAATGAAGGTTAGAACTAGGCTTTTAAATGGTACCAATATTGGTGGGAAGTGGGGATGCATACGTTTGAAAATGCTTGTCGCGGGAGGTGCGATTTATTTGACGTCGAGTGTATTTAATATTCTAAAGCCCGGTCTGTGAGCACGTAGAATTTTGTCCAATGACCCCAAGCTACCCACCCTTATCGCTCTCGCGTAATTATATTGCTGTCGCGACTGTGCAACGGGCGCCCGCAGCGAGTGTGCGAGCGCGACAATTCTACGTGCTTACAGACCAGACTATACCAACTTTCACACCAATCACCACCATTCGCTTACCACGAGTGGTTAAACGGAACTTTAGCTTAATAATTATTTTTTAATTTGTATTAAAACAAAACAGAACAGAACTTGTAAAGTCAGCTTCAAATAGTTCGAGACACCCAAAAAACCATAAACACACTGAAAACCAGCGTCGTGGCCTTTCCCACTGTGGGTCACAGCATATTATTATGCTGAGTGGAGTCCCATTGCAATGGGCATCGCTGTTGCGACGGGATAGCACTGCTCAGTTCTTCAGTTCACTTTTTATTTCCTTGTAATATTTATGTGCTATTTGTCTTTTTTTCCGTATACGTTCTCTGTCCTTAACTAAGTGATGTTCATCGTAATTAATGTTTCTTTCTTTCTATAAAGTTCGCACCTCTTTGTTACATTGAAATAAGTTTGTTACTGTTTGGCCACTTTGGAGCGTCACGAATTTATTTGACGCTGACTGTACTGCGTCAAGTAAATAACGAAAAAGCATACACAATTTACAAATAAATGCTTGTTGCACTTCACATTAATATAATTTAGCCCCAGTAAGACTCGAACTCACAAACGCAGCTGGGGTTATTATAACGATTATTGTAGATTTGTTACAAATTAATACTAGTGACGAATTCTCACTTTTTTTCGACTTACACCCGTATTCACAAACATTACGATGAGGTGTCACAGTGCGCGTGGACGCACAGGGTCCCAAAAACCTTATTCATGGACAATACTAGTTTAGTGGCGGAGTGACACACACAAACCAATCACAGAGCTCTATTCAACGCTGTGCGTTCGACTTCGCATAGCGTTGCTGCTTCACTTAAGCAAGCATCGTTTGTGAATACGGGTGTCAGGACACATTTTGATTCTAAGACTGATACATAAAATTGCTGATAAATATTTAGGTACACATTTGAAAATTATAAATAACTAAAATTATTATATTATTATTACATTAGTATTACACTAAAAAATTTCGACGGATTCATCCAGTGTCTAAGTAGCTCAGTTGGAAGAGCAGTCGCCCGGCAAGCGAAAGGTCGTGGGTTCAATTCCCGCCTTAGGCAGTTCGATTTTTTCAAGTTATTTATAATTTTCCAATTAGTTTGAGATGCAACTCTTAACGCTAAAAATTAAATTACTATTTAGGTAGACTTTTCCATTCTTAGGCTGGGTTGCAACATCTTACTATACTTTAACTATAACAGACATCAAAAGCCTGTCAAACTCCATACAAAAAAAACACAGGTTATCGTAACAGTTACCTTTAAAAAGTAGTGCAACTCAGCCTTAATGTATACCAATTTATGCTTGTCATATATGAGTCACGACGCAATATAATATTATAATCCATTTTCACCGTAGCAACAAAAATGTGAAATTTATAATTATTACTAATATGTAATTTACTGCGCCAGAGCATTATACATGGACGCATGTTGTATTCAGCATAGTCCTGCAAAAAAAACAATAAATCAGGAGAAAAGTACACCTCTAAATTGAGATCGAACTCAAGCATAGATTTTAATTTGTGAATTGTTGAATTGCTTTAAATGGACAAATAGTAAATCATTGAGACTGTTAGTGCCTTTTCACACATTCCGGTTGCCGGCTATCCGGCGCCGGGTACCCGGTCGTGAATGTATGGGTATGCCGGATTAATTACGCCGGAACATGTGAAAGCTACGTACCATGCCCATACACTTCACCACCGGGTACCCGGCGTCAAATGAGCTTTCACACGCCCTGGTTGATGACGGCAGTATCGACTAGAGAGCCGACCGTGGCAGATTGATAGTCCTACATAGAACTCAATTCGTCTAATGCTGGTTTTTCTATATTCAATCCTAATCCAAATCTGTCCATCAACTGACAAATTTCACTTTGATTGAAGTGAAAATATCTATGGTTTTCGATGTTTTAACATTTTTACATTGTTCGTAAGACTATTTATACAATATTACAGTGTAAACGTATCAAAAATTGTGGATATTTGATCGAAAATTGATTTAAATATGACCGTTGAAATCTAGATTTGTACAATGATTGAATATGGGAAACGTGTTAATAAATAAAATAGACATAATTTATAGAAAAAAATAAAAAAACAACTTACCAAATGCTACAAGCCATTTACAGTTAGCTACTACGTCACGTTTTATCTACAATTTTAACCATATCATCCGAGAATACAAAAACTGTCTCAGTTTTAATTGGATCTGTAACTTCCATCATCAGTTCAGGATCATCTTCATTTTGAGTGTGCATTTCATTAATTGTTGTTTCATCCTCATTATTTACATCAATAGTGATAATCGATTCATGTGTTGATATTGGATCGGGTGACGTGGGTTTAAGCTTTGGTTTCTTATAAATTGGTTTAAGTTTTGTCGGTACAACTTCAACAACACTTGATTTTTCTGTAATATCTTTTGACTGCAATTTCGTTTCGTTCAAAATTCTAATTTTAGGGTTAGATTTACTGTAGGTCCTAATATTCGTCAAGCTAGACATGACGGTTTTCAAAGGAACCTGTCGTAAAAATACTTTTTTCGGGTCTTTAGGCAGCAGCGTTGAGGGTTTGGATGTTTCCTCAACAGGAAGCGTAAGTTCCACTGGAACGGTATCTTGGTTTTCTTCCTTAGATTTACTCAGCATATCATTCTTTATTTCGTAACGGGTAAACAGTTTCGCCATGTCGAGTTTCAACATCGTTTGGAATTGCTTGCTAAGCGTCCGAAATGTTTTGGCATAGCTCAAAAATAATAAGTCAATTTCGTCTAGAGCCGTCTTGAAATCCTGTTCTAGTTTAGCAGCGATTGTTGGTTGTTCTTTATCAAGACTTTCTTTTAATGGGTCTGCTAGATCAAAATCGTCTTCTAAATCTTCATCAAGATACTCAACATCCGAGCATTTTAATTCATTATCTGCAAAACAATAAGAAATAGATGAGAAAGAAAGAAATATAACACAGAACCCTAGTATGAAAAAATATTTGGCGACCCCCCGACCACAACCCCTACTTTTCGCTCGACCTTTCATGCAAATAATGCATATGTTACAGGAAATGTATGAATTCTAGGAATTGTATACTATTCCTAGGAAATGTATACAATTCCGAAGCTATTTAGGAAATGTATAAAATATTGCTTCAGAGATTTTTTAATACGCACATATCCTAGGACATGTATACTTTTCCTAGGAATTTTATAGAATTCCAATATTGTATTAGGAAATGTATAAAACTAAGCGGCACAAGCGCGGTCATGTGATTTAGTGCCCCTCAGTACGCCTAAAATTTTATTTAGACAAACCACATTGACCGATAGGTACTTTTAACTCACAACTATTATTGTTTAGCCTGAAAGTTGTTTTCGCACTATTATATTTTGACTGAAAAAAATATTTGCCTATTGGCATACCTTTCTTTCGGCATCACGCATATTACGCTGAAGTATTGGAAAACCCTAATTTTAACATATCTTTTATTAAACTATTATTGACATGAAGGTTTTAGTACTCCTGTAGCTCAGTAGTAGCTGGATAACAAAGTCTCGGTTAGGTTAGGTTAGACTTGCGACCTTGTCACATACACAACGGCCGCGGCGCGGGAGCGCCATTTAAGTTTCGGAAAAAAAAGAAATCTTAATTACATTTCCGATTGCTGTTTAGGAAATGTGTAAATTTCCTAGGAAATGTGTCTAATATAATTTACATCACACATTTCCGGGTGATTTTAGGACTTATACACAAATCCTAGGAATTGTATACAATGACGGATTTCATACATTTCCTGTAACACATACATAATAATGTTACAAAGATGCTGTAGGGACCGAATACTTCAATCCATACAACATTTACGCATTAGCATAATTAATTAGATTTCGGATAAATTTATCTTAAAACTTTACTGTTTTTTTACTGATATAGTTTTTCAACCTCTCGCGACCTCCCAGGGGGTCGCAATCCACAGGTTGAAAAACACTATCTAGTCTAGCCCTAGTCAAGTGAACCAGACAACCAATTAAAGATTTATTTCATAAACAATCTTCATTCATTCGGCGGCCATTTGATGTAGTGGTTCAGAAATCAGAACAAACTACTATGCCAAGAGGACTTGGGTTAGATTCCTGGCCAGGCAGAAATTGAAATGATGAATTTTAATTTCTGTGATAATTGGTGTGAGTAAACTAAAAAAAACTCACAAAACTCTTATTTTTGCAAATAGGCTTTTAAAAAGCACTTGTACACATCCCAATATTAACTCTACCACTGCTGTCTATCAGTCTGGGTGTTTAGTCGTTAAGCTAGCACCCATAAAAAGTATATTAATTGCTTACTTTATTTTTATTTATACTTATTTATCTATTCATAACATAACAAACTTACGTAATAGGCTAATTGTAAGTTCTTAGGTCACGGAATGCAGTGTTTTGTGTTCTAATTAATAGCAGGTATTTTTATTATCTATTATTAACAAAACAGTACTATGGATATCGGCGCACAACCCACTGACAAGCAGCAAAGGCCGAATGAGGGCTATCGTTTTAGCGCTCACCAGTTAGCGCCACTGTAGAGTAAGGTCCTGTCACTTGCCAGTAGTGAAGACAGTGGCGCCAACTTGTGAGCGCTAAAGTGGTAGGAGGACTATCGTATTTGCACTCATCAAGATGGCGCCACTGTAGAGTAAGGTCCTGTCAATCGCCAGGGGTGCCAACTGTTAAGTATAAAAACGATAGCCCTCATTGCCAAAGATGACGCTTTTTCATTTATGTTATTGTTACGCATAATATTTTTAATTTATGTCTGTTGCTATTTTGTTTATATTATGCTTGTCTATTGTATTGGATTGATTCTGTAAAAAATTTACCGCCACTGGATATCTGACCTTGGATATTTAGACATGTATTAAAAAATCAAAATTGTCTTTATTCATATAGACTAATTTAATATGTACTTACAAATCGTCAAAATGCTCTTAAAGAGCCTATACATGTCTCATTCTTTTTTTGCCCTACCAACCGTTTATTGACTTATTTTTCAATAATAGGTATACAAATAGTTTACAGTCTAGGCTTGATCAAAGAAAAAGATAAACTATTCTAAAAAAACTTCAGAAGAGTCATACCTGATTCTGATAGGTTTAGAGTTGGTATAGCGTTATTGCTTAATCTTCCAAAGCGACAATGGTATTTAGCTTCGAAATGGGATGTACAAATTCTTCGCACTTTGTGTTCGTCAGTATCATCAGCATTTTCACCATATATTGCCAACATCCATTTTCTGTAGCGCTCTCGGTCCGTTATAGGGTTTGGGAAACTATGTAAGTGTCTTGCGGATGATGAATCTAAAAGAACATTATAAATTGACAAGAAACCATTAATCCTTATCTTGCTTTATTTAAATTTGTATGAAAAATGCAACTTGGCATAATTTTTTCCCATAGGTTATTGTATTAGACTTATTTATATTTATTGCAGATTGCTAAAACATTTCAAGTGTGTTTTGGTTATACATATACATTTTAGTCAATTTACCTTACTAGACATATTGTTTTGTATAAAGTCAGATTAAAATTAATAACATTATTCACCTGTTAGATCCTTACAGCCAGGAACACAACACTTCATTATCAAATTTTCGTCTTCAGAAGACTCTGAATCGGTTTCAGTTCTGGCACGTTCAGAAAACTCTGAATCGGTTTCAGTTCTGGCACGTTCAGAAAACTCTGAATCTGTTTCAGTTCTGGCACGTTCTGAAACGAAAAATAACAAAGATTTTATAATGGGCACAAAATCAGAAGATTTTTCAATGATACAATATTTTCCTAAAAAAGTTTAAGGAAAATATTGTAAAAATTATGAGTAGGCTCGTAATTTAAAATAATGCACCCATCAAAATTGGTTCAGTTATAAGCATGAAAAGGTTACAGTCAGATATTTACTTTTGCATTTATAATATTAATAATAAGTAAGTATGGTAAGCAGTTACTACCATTTATAAATAAAGAAGGTATAGCAATAGCATTGATTCTGTTATTCCTGTTTCGGTCATTTTCTGTGAAATGTCTATCACAGATACGTTTGGTACGAAAGTATGAGTAGTCGTCAGTTGAGTTTAGTTTTCCTTCGACAACTTTAACCCATGCCTTAAATTGATCGTGAAATCTCTTGGGATTAGGAAACATATGTAAGTGCTTCCCCAAATCTGAAAATTTAATTCATTCTAAAATCAACATGTTTTTATGTACTTCAGTCAGTGGAATTATTATTTTTCAATTTTTATTATAAAATTTTTGGTCTTACTTTTTACCAGAGTGCACCAGAACAAGGGTTTGTTCTTAGCATTGTATACAAAAGTAACTGAGTCTGTTTATAGCTTTACATTTGAGTATCTAAGGTAAGTATTTAACATTTTAAAATTGATGAACCGAAGGAAAGTGAATGGCAATGACAAATGAAATAATAATCATTCAATTAGTAGAAACGATTTTAATCATACTAGTATAGGTAGAGCTAATACAAATAAACAGCCTACTCATGCAAAGAACCTGAAATGTTCAGTAATAATTACAAAATTTTCATAGAATAGGTTCAGAGAAGCACCATTTCCATGATAAAATCAAGAAAAATAAACTTTCTTTTGTAAAAAAAAAAACCCTAAAACCGACCGGTTCAAACATCGGCCGGTTAAATTCACAATTATTACAAATAACATAAGGCAGCAGAAAGAAATATCTGAAAATGTTTCTTACCACTTGGGCAGCCCAAAATACAGCTATGAGGCATAATCTATAGACCTTATAGGAAGTTTGTTTCAAAAGTTGTTACAGTTATTCAGGCAGCACAAATAACTTACTGAAAATCTTTCTTACCACTGTGGCAGCCCAATAGGCCAAATAACAGCTTCGAGATATAACTCAGTAATCTGGTGTACCTCACAGAAAAAGTATCAAACTAGCAAATTCACAGTTACACTACGAATATGGAGGAGTGCTTCACATGTATCAGTGCACAGCAAACTTCATAAAAATATTAAACTAGAACAACAATAAAAAAATTCGCCTAGGTTTGGCCACAAAGTCCGCCATATTGTACTAGCAGGTCAACACCATGAAGCTACAGATAAAAATGGAGGCCACACTCCGAATACCTACTTGAAGCACAAATTATGTATCACTATCTCGCTCTCTGTGGGCAGACTCTCTCTTTCTAAATAAACAAAAAATACAAAATTGCTCAAATTCAATAAAACTCAATGTATTATAAAATCTTTATTTCTTGACATAGGTATAATAGTCCAGTAGAATTAGCTTTTAAATCGGAAATAATTCCTACAAAAGATTTTATTGTTTCAATGGCTTCATTGGTTGCCCATTAAGACTCTCCTAAGTTTTCGACTTCGACGGAGTTGTGCTTAAGTGGGGGGGAGGCCCCGAAACGGGCATTTTTTCGGTTTTCCGGTTATACCGCGTAAAGGACTTACCCTATCAAAAAGTGGTCTTCATGACGGTTGAAGGATACTTAATCCTGCATTGAATAAGACCAAATTCATATGTTTTGGACAAACCGTTCTCGCGCTAAAGTTCGGCAAAGTAGAAAATATACGTATAATTAATGACCCTCTCCATGTCCAATGGTTTGTTACCCACAGGCTTCCAAGTCTTGAAAAGGGCCACCTCAACCAGTGTAACCCTATCAAGGCTTACGAGCTTGATGCGCCTATCCTTGTTCGTCCCAGCCGTTCCTTAACTGCGGTTGCTGCACCTCTTCCTGGCACTCACCTGAACGACTCTGTGTTACCTACTGTGGCTGCCCCTCTTCCTTGTATCCTCCTGCATGACTACGTTGCCTAGCCGTATGCCTGGTCTAAGGTTCGACGCCAAAAATCAACAACAACAAGTTCATATTAAAACGCTGAAGAGTTTTTTGTTTGTTTGTTTGAACGCGCTAATCTTAAGAATTACTAGTTTGATTGAAATCATTATTTTTGTGTTGAATAGCTCATACATTGAGGAAGGCTATAGGATATATACAATCACTCTACGACTAATAGAGGCGAAGCAGTAAAGAAAAATGTTGCAATCACGGGAAATAGTATTTAAACTATTTTCACTCGTACGAAGTTGATTTTGTGGCGTCGAACCTTGGACCAGGCATATGGCTAAGCAATGAAATCGTACAGGAGGGTACAAGGAAGAGGGGCAGCCACATTAGGTAACACAGAGTCGTTCAGGAGAGTGCCAGGAAGAGGTGCAGCAACCGCAGTTAAGGAACGGCTGGGANATTAATTAATATTAATAATTTCCAGAATCCAGAAGCTCTGTGTCGAATGTCCAACTGTCAAACCCTAAAAATCGTTCGTTTCATGGCTTCCAGTTCGGGGAACTTTTGTCAAAGAAGGAAGGGGTAAAACGTGCCCTTGCATTTTGGCCCGGTTTAATAAAGTCGCGCCGTGGGCTGGCGTCACTGTGTCAGACTTAAGTTTATTAAACTTTAGGCTTAGTACAACTGAGCAGCCTCCGTAGTAAAATGCTTAGGCTGAATTGCACCACCTAACTTTGACCGTAACTATAACGATTGTGCTGTGGTGCTTTTTGCAAGGAATTTGACATATTTTTGACGTTTGTTATAGTTAAAGTAAGTAAGATGGTGCAACCCAGTAAATAATTTAGTAATTTATTTCCAGTTGGAGGATGATGTTTCTAAAATCTTCAATTATTACGCTCATCGACATTGTTAATCCCTAAAACCATTAGAAGATTATAAATACTCTGTCACTGTTTAGAGAAATTTTGTAAATTATTAGATTTTTTTGTGTTACGATATTTGATGATTTTCAGGTCTAAATAGCGGAGAAAACTGTGTTAACAAATAAGGCTACTAATTTTCTTTATGAACATGAACATAGCGCGACGTTTTCATACATATTCACTCTAGTGCATGGAGTTATTGTGGAATTTAGGGCTGATTTTGTAATCGTCAGATAACTTTTAACCGAAGAATAAATTTAGTCATCTTGACATATTTCTCATATTGGAACTGTCCGACGAATGATAAATCAGCTGTAGGTAAATGTTTCTGAAAACTTTCCATCGATAGATTTCAATCGTCTCTCGAAACTTTTTGTTTCCAAAGGCATAATTGGGATTTATTTCATTTGCTGAGTCCCGATCGCCGAGGATTGTCCGGACGAACCAGTTCGGTCATGAATAGTTTTCAAAATACCGATTCATTGCAGGGCACATTGTTACGACACTAAAGTAGGGCGACCATGTAGGAGGAATTCTGAGGAATGTGAAAGGGTTTTCCTTTTTTTCTCAGACAGAGAACATGTTATGGGCCAAAAGATGCACATTAATATCTCATAGTCGATACAATCATAAATAATAATATTTCTAAATACAATCTTGAAAAGTAAATAGGTAACTTGAAAAATATCACAACTAAAATCCTCCTGTAGAATATTTCAGGCGGTCACTTGCACCTCGTATTAGGTAAGATAGTGGTATCGATTGCAGCCTTTAAGACTCTCAAATCTTGTCCTGTGGAAAAACCATTTTCCTAAGTTTTGGTCAACCTTCTGAACCGACGCCGGTCTCTCGCCGGCATTCCGCCCCTAATTGGACGAGTTTCGGCGCGTTCCGGCGCGGGCGCCAAACATTACAGTTTCTTCGTGTCCGCGGGTAATGAGCGTACCTGGTTTACGTGGGGGTATGGGGGTATTGTGTGAAAAGGAGGAAATGGAGGTAGCTGGGGATGATAAAAAGAAACTGCTGTGGAAGAAATTTTTTGGGTTATTGGTAGACTAGATGTCCCGGCGTACTTCGTACAGCCAATGAATGAATTTGTGACATCTAAAAAATAAACAAAATATAAGTTTTTTTTTACTAAGCCCTTCACAATATAGATCCTTAAAAATAAACTAGACTAGGCCAAGAATTTGCCACCCATAGTGTGGGGACTGGTGCCACAAAAGAGGTTTCAAAAAAGAAACCTGTGCTAAGGGATATGAGGTATCAAGAAAACGGCAAAGTAAATACCTAATTTAAAAAAAATATATCGAAGTTTTCATACGAATCTGGATGAATTACACTAGCTAGGTCACTGTCTATATCAGAAAGGCCTACCTTTTATCGAAACCTTTGTGGACGAAATCCTGTGCAAAAGCCAGTAACTTTAAAGAATGCTTTAGTGCATTAAGTTCGCCTTATGTACAAATTTATTTTGGCATTAAAGTTTAAATAAATAAATAACTTAAAGTATAATTAATGATTAAACGAACTTAAAAAGTGAAGTTCTATCATAATTATGCGAGGGCTTTGTCCGAAGAGATTAGAAATAAGAACTATGTAGTATCACGTACGGTGATGCCAGTTTACGCACTGTTAGTTGAGGATATTTTTTTTTTTTTTTTTTGTGGGTATCTCAGTTTACATCCCATTTGACATTGGTATCCGTCGTCAGTTAGTTTGGAGTAGTAATTTGTATTTTTTATCATTTCACTAATATGGGGGTTTGTGTTTTTAATAATATACCTACATATGAGTATATGATTGTTAAAGACGGGTGGGAGGGTTTCTAATCTCTTCGGACAAAGCCCTCGCATAATTATGATAGAACTTCACTTTTTAAGTTCGTTTAATCATTAATTATTATAATAAAAATGTACGAGCACTTGCACAAAATAGTTGTTAAAACCAACCTTGTGTTGGGTCTAATTCTCGTCACTACACTGCACAACTTAAAATAATTACGTTTTTTGTCGGTAAAAACGTCCTGGTGACGTCACTTAAGCATTTTTCTTATACTGCGTGCGGTCGTTGCGCGTGCGCACAAAGGAATGAGACCGCTCGGACACCGAGCCCACAGCGTGGTAGGGGTGGGGTTGCCCGCTCTTTTGTTTTTTACTACTACTACGCTGAATATTGTGTGCGGATTGGGTTGTCGTACAGGGGTACTACATGGTAAAATAAATCTCGGAGGCGAAAGCAGGATAATTACTGTAAAAAATGTGAAAAATGTTTACAATGATCCAATGTCGGAAATCACGAAATAAACACTTACGCGTGGAACCTTATGTCACTTCCAGGACACCACGTACTACCGCAACCACGCACTACAAAATTTTGCACCATTTCTTGTGATAAAACAATGATTATTTCCTGTAAACAATCTCAAACGAAATTAACTGCTTAATAAACAAAATAGTAAACAACCGCCATGATGGGCCGGATTGGGCCGATGTTGCCACATGGTACCGATTCCCCAGGAATTGGGATTGTAATTCCCTGATTCGCCAACACATTAAGCCTAAATGGCCGACAATTTTGTGATTTTTTATTTAACTAGGTAATCTTAGTTTCAAATATTAATTATTTATTTGTTTAACTTCTGATTTGGTTAGTGAATGAGGATCAGTACTGTTGTAGAAAATTCAATAAAACCATAGCTGGGCATTAACTCGTTAATCCGTTAATCGTTAATTAACGAAGTTAACATTTCTATTAACGGATTAACTTTTAAGTTAACTATAAAAAATGTTAACGGACTCGTTAACTTCCGTTAAATTATCCTAAGTCCGTTAATCGTTAATCCAGTACTTACTATTTACCAAAAAGATACAGCAGGCACGCTAAAAAACACTAGAATAAAAATTAGCCAAGTGCGTGTCGTGCCACGCGCAGTGTAGGGTTCCGTAGTTGTCCGTCATTAACACAATATATTTCAGAAGCAAGCAATTACTTCATCTAAAGTAATTGTCAGTTTTAATATTTTCTTCTAAGGAATTTTCACTAGTTAAGGAATTTTATAATACATGAGTTAAATGACTATTACTCTTAATCTAACTGATGTATCTTAACCGCTACAGTTTTCCTTGAAAGTTCATGAAAAGCAGTATCTTTACAAATTTTACTAGATTTTTAAAGCCAACAGTTTAGTTTGGGTTTGTTAGTATGTGTGGGACAAATCTTGCAACTGATTTTAAGACCAGTTCTCAACCGATAGAGCTGAATTTTGGTACACTTATGTAAGTACGATGAAAATGCAATGTTATGGTACCATTAAGCTGGTCTGATGATGGAATAAATAATTAATATTTGAAACTAAGATTACCTAGTTAAATAAAAAATCACAAAATTGTCGGCCATTTAGGCTTAATGTGTTGGCGAATCAGGGAATTACAATCCCAATTCCTGGGGAATCGGTACCATGTGGCAACATCGGCCCAATCCGGCCCATCATGGCGGTTGTTTACTATTTTGTTTATTAAGCAGTTAATTTCGTTTGAGATTGTTTACAGGAAATAATCATTGTTTTATCACAAGAAATGGTGCAAAATTTTGTAGTGCGTGGTTGCGGTAGTACGTGGTGTCCTGGAAGTGACATAAGGTTCCACGCGTAAGTGTTTATTTCGTGATTTCCGACATTGGATCATTGTAAACATTTTTCACATTTTTTACAGTAATTTCTTCCTAAAACGTTTACCAGTATTTACACTTATCATTTTAAATTATACCTATGTCAAGAAATAAAGATTTTACATTGAGTTTTATTGAATTTGAGCAATTTTGTATTTTTTGTTTATTTAGAAAGAGAGTCTGCCCACAGAGAGCGAGGAACACTGAAGGTAGGCAGTACATTGAGACCATATTCTTCATGTCTAGTGTAAAATATTCCCTACAAAATACAGGTTACCATATAGGAAACCTAAAAAGACCTTAAACCGTCAGCCCACCTTAAAAACATGAAAGAATACAACTGTTGGTCTATTTGTACTTATATTATTTAAAGAATTATCCTACAACTCCTAAGCATTAAGGAGTTGTACCTACCATGACCAGTTTTTCTTCAAATTCGCATGAAACCACCCTTTTGATAATACCTATTCAACAAAAAAATAATCGTTCAAATTGGTTCATAATCGGCGGAGATATTGCGTATAAAAAAATTCATCCACAATTTTCCACCCTTGGAGGTGAAATATTTTCTTCAAATTCGCATGAAACCACCATTTGATAATACCTATTCAACAAAAAAAATAATCGTTCAAATTGGTTTATAATCGGCGGAGATATTACGTATAAAAAAGTTCATCCCCAATTTTCCACCCTTGGGGGTTGTTTTTTTATTATTAAATTTAAATGGGACCACCCTTGAGGTATTACCTATACGCCGAAAAAAGATTTGTTCAAATCGGTTCATAATTGGCGGAGTTATCGCGTAACAAACATAGAAAAAAAAAAAAACATATGGGTCGAATTGAGAACCACCTCCTTTTTTTGAAGTCGGTTGAAAACCAACAATACTGGCCAACCCGGGAATCGAACCCAGAACCATGCTCCAACGAGACAGTTAAACTTGTAATTAGGACATTAGTAAAAAAATGGAAAAATTGGTATACATAGAAATAGTAGATCGATTCTTCTACCATGGGCAAGTCTTAAAGTACATAAGTTGAGTTAGCCTAGGCGCATACCATCGATTTTTCGTCGGCCGATAGTTTAGTCCGGCAGTTGATCAGTATGTGCATGTATGGAAGTGCGCACTACACCGATTTGATTTGGCCGATTCTTAATACAATTTAAAATCGGGCACAATTATCGGCTAACTAAAAATCGGTGGTCTGTGCCTAGTCTTAGTATGCAACAACTACAAGCATGTAACTTTTTATTAGTAAGGGGGAATAGGTACTGTGTATTATACCTATATTAATAAATAGGGTCATAAGTTGACTTTAAATTTAAGATCACCACCTATGTACACTTATGAAGCAATAAATGATTATGATGATGATGATAGATTTTGTTAATATTTTGTAACACTTAAACAACAGCCATCTGTGTTATGGAATTTTATCAGGTAAATCTTACCAAGATGAAGTGATGGTACTGCTAGACAATTCAACCGGTGACTACGGGTCCTATCCTTGTCAGTGAAATGAATATCACAGACAATTTTCTTCCTGTACAGTTTATAATCCTCTTCACTATCCAACTTCCCACCAGCAACACGAACCCAAGCCTTGAAACGGTCAGCATCCCTTTCCGGATTTGGGAAATTGTGTTTGATCTTTGCTGGAAAGAAAGTAATATTTTAATTAGGATTAATAGTCTTTATATCCCAGTTTTGAGTTTTCACTAATATTATTCTTGATATAAATGTAGGATACTAAAAATAATGCAATTAATCTATATAAATAAAAATGAATTGAAGTTCGTTAGTCTGATTCAAACTCGAGAACGGCTGGGCCGATTGAGCTGATTTTGGTTATAAAATGTTTGTCGTAGTCCAGGGTAGGTCTAAACGGTGAGCAAATACGCGCGCGATATTGTTTTTCTGTGACAGACAAAATTCCATGCGGGCGGAAAGCTAGTATTAAATGATATTTATTTCTGTAATTAGATCTATAAAAGATTGACGTGATAGGCATCATTTACATGTCAATCTTTCATTTTAAGTGAATCCACATGAAGCTGATTATGTTATAGCTGTTTACTTTAACATTATAAGTACATAACAGTATTTATAATCAGTCATTCTAAAGTGGCTTAGGCATTTTATGCACAAATAATATTAAGGCTAGTTTAATAATGACGTAAAAGCTCCGAAAACCGTAAATTGCCGTGTAATAGAGCGATTTTAGTCTTCACACCTAAGGTGATTTATGACAATAATATCTGCAAAAGGGTAGCGCATTTTCTTACATAACTTTTCAATTCCTATCATTGGAGGTCCGAAAATATTTCTCATACAATTTGATAGCATAATGATCATTCTTCATAAAAAATTTAAAACCTACATATTTAAAAACATAATCATTGATATTCATAATATCACTAATCATACACTTAGTTTTTACTAATATTTGTTTTCATATATTTTTCTATACTAATGATCGAAACTCATAATCATTCGAATAAATAACACTATAATATTCATAAATGTGATGTATCCTAATATTTGTTTTCATAAATTTATTACTCATATCATAAGTGTATTTATCCATATTATGGAAAATCATGATGTTTTTATTCGTATTAAATCGTATTTTAACATTAAATTAATTTGAAATGGTCCAAAACAGGGAATATTTTGTGCCACAAAACTAACATGACAGAAACGAATCGCTGCAAAACCGACTCCACGTAGTCTTGTCTGCCCTACCCCTAGAGTGTAATTTAAAAGCCGGAGGCGCGGAGGGAGGGCAGCCCTCGCCCGCTGTAACGAGGCTCAGGCACCTGGGTGAGCTGGAGCGCCTGAGGCTGGTCGCTGAGGCGCCGATGGCGATCCAAAAAGCCGAAGCTGCGGAAGCAAGCGTGGGTGCCTGAGCCTCGTTACGCAAGGGCGGAAGGGCTGCACATCCCGCAGCGCCAGAGACGAGGAGATACCAATGCATGCTGCATGCTTGCTTTCATGCTGCATGCTCTGCATGCTTATCTACTTTATTAAATTATATAAAATATGATTTTTTTAAAGATACGAGTATGTCTGTTATAAAGTAAATTATTCTAAACAACAACATTATGAGTTGAAGTATGTTCTTAGTAACAATATTATTAATTAAAACAATAATATGATTAATGAATGTTATGAAGAAAAAAGATCTGAAAATAAAAATTATGTATTTTAAATGGTTCTTAGCAGTAACAGTATTGATAAAAAAAATATGATTACTAACTGTTATGAGCTCCGTTGTTAGTAATAAAAATGTATGAATAAAAAAAGTATGAAAAATAAAATTATGAAGAGAGATTATTATGAACACAAATCGGTAGTAAGACAAAGAATAGGATTTAGAATTTTATGTAAGCCAAAAGCCAATATAGAACCCTGCAAAAGTATCCCTTTTAGGTTAGGTAGGGGACGGATTGGGATTGATTATGATGCTGTTGATGATACTTACCGACTGGACATCCAAAAAAACATTTTTTGGGCATGATGCTATTTGTTGAGAAACTACAAGCGTCTATATCACAAAGAAACAGCACAAACGAAGTCTCCGGGTCGCACAAAAACAATTGCACTGAATCACACAATATCTTCGGAAATTGTACACACACACTTAACGGAGGAGAGGACTCAACTCAACGCGAATAAGCAGATTAATTTCTAGAAGAAAAGTACTAAAAGTCGAATTCTTTAGTTAGACTTCAGCAGAAACGTAAATAATTAATTGCCAACTGACACTGCTGTGGTCAGTTGGTCACTGACAATATCGCATTTTTTTTAAACTGTGCGTGCACTAGTGAGGCGACAGCGACAAAACCTCTCGTTAATCGCGAATATAATTATTTTTTTAGTATCTCCTGTTATTTAGCTTTATTACTGTTTTTATTTTATCAGGATATACCTCTTAGTTAAAAAGTTATTTATTACGTTTTCTTTACAATAAGAATTAAGAGATAAAAAATTCTATAAAAAATAAAAAAATGAAAATCTTATTTATTTTTTTACTTTTTTTTCGTCAATAAAAATAGGTCTAGTTTCACCAGAGAGCAGAAATAACAGGAGTAGCAGCGCGCGTTTATTTCCATACAAAAAAATTTCGCCATTTCCTGAGGGGGACGAGGTAATGACATTTGTGTACAGTGTTGCCAGTCGGGTCTTGTCAGAAATTACCAGAAATATAAAAAAATGTAACCTTTTTGAATAAAAAGTAACCTTCATACGGGGGGGGGGGGATTTGCGTTTCATTATCGAAAAACAAAACATTCGCTAAAACTCTTTCTTTTTCAAACAAATAACAAATCAAATTCATGTTTAAATGCAGTTTATGACATAATTTTTAAATTGTCACTATTCATATTTTTTACTGAATAACCTGTAAAAGTTAATTCTANCACGGTGAAGTAAAGCTAATGTTTATATTAGCTAAAATGTTTTTTTGCTACAGTTTTTTGTCACAAGTATTCAAAATTATTTAAAAAGTGTAGTTTTTATTAATTTATTTAAATTACTACAGTTAATTATTATTCCTATATATTACGATTTTCTATTAAAGAAGGATAACAGTGCTGTTGGAACAATAAACCTTGATTGTGATGATGATCGACCGAGCGTGTATAGGTACGCGTGTGTACACAGGCGCGGGGCGGCCATGACTGATTAGCAACTTGAAGTTGTCGCGCGCTGTAGGTAATTATCTCGGCCGGCATAGGCGAGTGACGGAGGCCTGACTATATTGCCAACACTGACACCACTGCTGTGGTCAATGACAATATCGCATTTTTTTTAAACTGTGCGTGCACTAGTGAGGCGACAGCGACAAAATCTCTCGTTAGTCGCGAATATAATTATTTTTTTAGTATCGCCTGTTATTTAGCTTTATTACTGTTTTTATTTTATCAGGATAAACCTCTTAGTTAAAAAGTTATTTATTACGTTTTCTTTACAATAAGAATTAAGAGATAAAAAATTCTATAAAAAATAAAAAAATGAAAATCTTTTTTATTATTTTACCTTTTTTTCGTCACTAAAACTATTTTTAGTGACGAAAAAAAGGTAAAATAATAAAAAAGATTTTCATTTTTTTATTTTTTATAGAATTTTTTATCTCTTAATTCTTATTGTAAAGAAAACGTAATAAATAACTTTTTAACTAAGAGGTCTAGTTTCACCTATGTATTTTCATATGTGCACGTGCACTTTATCGTGACTCACACTGTAGAAAGAAAGAAAACTATTTTAATTTTGTTTACTTTTATTTTTACTGCTTCGTAAAGCAGTGCATTATAAATTAGTAGTAATTTTTGGAAACTTAATTTGCAAACTTTCAAACATATCTCATATTATTATCAGGGTGAATCAAATATTAATAGAACTAGGTAGATACTTTTCGTTGTTTAATTACCTGGTAAATGTAGTACTGGCATTGCCAATTGACTGAGTCGGTTCTTAGGATATTTATGAACATCCTCGAAATGATTATGACATACTCGTCTCTTAATAAAATTTGTTGTTGCATCCAATGTAGCTAAATCGCCATAAATATTTGCAACCCAGACGTTAAACTTTTTTGAATTTTTTTCCGGGTCAGGAAAGTTATGCAGTGTAACACCTGGAAAGTGAAAATATGGATAAAAATCAAATAACCATCAAGGTATTAATCTAATAACAAATTTTATGAATTTTAATTTTTATTTTATTTTATAAACTGTATTGTACAAAAAGCTTTATAACATTTAAAGCTGTGTAAAGGTTATTTGACTAATTTACATGGGTGACTGTGAAATGAGGGTTTTCGCGATTGAAAAATCCGCCAGATGGCAATACGTAGACGGGAGGTCCAAATGCTGCATGATTGGTGGATTTTGACATATCTGTCAATGTCATGTCAAAAATAACCAGTCATGCAGCATTTGGACCTCCCGTCTACGTATTGCCATCTGGCGGATATGTCATTATGTCGTCTAAACACTTTGATAAAAAATAATTTAAAACCTTAGATTAATAAAACTTAACATAGTTAAAAATTATAATTCTAACAAAAATGTATACTTTAGCCTTCCTTTGCACAACAACAAGTACTACATACTGTCAACCTAGAATTATAAGATTTGATAAGTAAAGTTTTAGCGATTTGAACTTGATACCTTTACCCAAGACGTCCTGTTAATGTCTCCTTGGTAGGCAGTCCGACAACAGACTTCTTTTAGGACTCTTGTTACGTTGTTATTTATTTATTGTCATTTATTTGCCAGGACTACATTGCGGCTTATTGCAAGTGAATAAATAACAAATTAATAAATGATCTTTAAATCTTTTAAAATAATAATTATTAAAAACATACCATCATAAGTCATTACTGAACAGCCAGGTACACAGCATGTCTTCTGGGGCATGATTCCAGTTTATTGAATTCACATTCACAAAACTGATCACTTTAAATAATTAATTAATAATAAAATAAATAAAAGTTAGAAATTCACAGCACAGTTTCACAAGGTCTTCGATTCCTAGATGCCGAGAAGGATACTCAACTCGACATAAAGATTGTAGCGTTTGCAAAGCAACAAGGAGCAACAGTAAGTTCAATTTAACGTAAATAGAAAAGTACGAAACAACCAAATTTAAGAAATCGAACAAAATCACAAAGTGAGTGCGCAAGAGTAGTTCCAGATGAGAGAGTATGAAGAGTAGTCAATTTAACAGACAATGACACACCGACTTCAAAAATTACCTATACTTAAATAAATTTTATTAATAAATTTATGAAAACTAAAGAATTAAATAAAGTCTGATTCTTTAGAAATTTCCATAGGTAGGTACATGTAAACAAACACTTCAAGTGCACACAATTACACTATAATCACTTACGTTTTCATAATATCATACACATTATTTCACAAGCCCATGAACCAACATTTTTCTTATGAAAAAGCAATTAATATGAAATCTAACATTTAAAACAAATTATAATACAAAAATATTTGGATGATGATTTTTTTAAAAATTTAAAATGTCAAAACAACTTTTGACGTATCTATGGAAAGGTGTTTTTTTTCCATAAAAATTTTACGACTGGATATAAATATCCATACGGCATGGAAAGGTGTGTTTTTTCTATGGGTGTGCCTCCGCTGCCGGCGCCGGCGGCTGATTCGGCAGCCGGCGCCGGTCGCTCATTTGGTAACCGGCGCCGGACGCTGACACTGACTGTTACATTTCTAGGTAGGTATTTTTCGATAAGTCAATACTACATTAGGTAAAAGTATAATAATTTAAGTCCTCTTTGATAAGTTGGTTATAGCCTGACCAGGAACATAAAAACCCTGGCATAGAGGCGCGTCAATTGCATTTGATAGTGCAACACTGAGTACAGTCGTACCTGTGTTAAATTAATAGGCTAACTTTATGTATCAGCATTCAGGATTACGTCCTAATTAATTGATATTTTCATAAATTAACGAATAAAGATTATATAGGTAACCTGGTTTAAATAAATTAAATGAAACCATCAATCGAGCTAGTATGATTTATTTTATTATTCATCAATAATTAAATTCAGAACTTGAATATTCAACTGCTTTGTCTGCTCATAAACGCTTCAAACTCGGTACTTCTTTCCCAATTCCATAAAATTCAACACTTAGAAAGTGAAAAAAAACTTTAAAATATGTATTTGAAACTAACCACAGCTAATTTTCATAGTGGACTGTACTATACGATAAACATGTCAGTCAATTTGACAACCTTTGTCGGAAACATTATTCAATGAAAATATTGTCCGAACCCTTAGTNTGTTACTAACGTAAAATATTAAGAATCGTTTTACTGCAAAACACACCCACAACAAAAAGTATTTTCGTTATTTCTGATCGATAAAATAATTTTAAAAACACCATCACTTATCTTTATTATTACAACGGGAATATCACTCTTCACACATTTACACTTTGGTGGCTGAGAAAATATAAAGTAAACACTTCATATTTAAGCACAATCTAAATAGATACTTTGTTTGAAATTAATAATGTTCCGTGAGTTAATTTATAACTTTGACTTATACATGTATCTACTCACTTCTTTTTTTTTTTTTTAATGCACTCCTTTTTAATCCTCGTCGCCATTGTATTGTACACCTTTATCTCCGCCATTAGATTATTATTTGGCTCGCCTACGCACACAGCACGACCTGCCCGCACCACGGTCGGACGCCGAATCAGTGTTGCCAGTCGGGTCTTGTCAGAAATTACCAGAAATATAAAAAAATGTAACCTTTTTGAAAAAAAAGTAACCTTCATGCGGAGCGTGTGTAAGGTTGTTCATGGATGGAAAATGAACAATTGATCATCAATCGTTTACCTAAATTCGAATTTTGACCATTCCATGAAGACCGAAAAGTGACCGGTCGTATAAAAACGTTTCATGGATTTCCGTTTCACTATCGAAAAACAAAACATTCGCTAAAACTTTTTTTTAACAAATAACAAATCAAATTCATGTTTAAATGCAGTTTATGACATAATTTTTAAATTGTCACTATTAATATTTTTTACTGAATAACCTGTAAAAGTTAATTCTACAATTTCTGAAAAATCACCTAAAAGTAACCTTTTCATTAGTGTAACCTAAAAGTAACCATTGCAGTTCAAAAGTAACCTAAAAGGTTACAAAAGTAACCTTCTGGCAACACTGCGCCGAATGCCCCCACCGCCGACTAGGCTGTGACGTATGCGCTCGAGACAAATGTCTATACACTACACCTATCATTATAATATAATGTATAATATTAGTCTTCACGTTAAATGCATGCTGTGTTTGCCTGTAATAAGTTAATACATTGAACATGTACCTATTCTTCTTAAGATTTATACAATTGTATTGGTGTAATTAACTGTTGGTGAACCAAATAAATAAAATAAATAAAATAAAATTTACACCAGGCTCGCCGGTAGGGATGCGCAGTAGCTAATAGGGCTTCCCGCTGAAAATCAGTGTCGGGACATTCTATAAGGTGTCCCAACTAAAACTGAGCGGGCGCCCTATTAACATGCATTCGTCTCTTTCTTTTTAAAATCTGTTGTATTGTTTTTTGTAATGTGTGTTAATAAAGTTATTTATTATTATTATTATTATTATTATTATTAATTAAACATCATTATACTTCAATTAATACCATAACTATGAAAAATAAACAGTTATTTCCCCCTGTAAAGTTTGGAAAAAGGGACATACCTACCTAAGCAGTTTGAAAGTTAGGCTGACGATATTCGTGTGTCTAAGTGAGCTTCAAAACAGTTTTTAAGTGTGTGTACGATTACCTACCTAAATGTAAATGTCTAGATGTCTGTCTGTGCACGTATTTATTCAAAATATCGGTCAACATTGAATAAAATATTTTTGATCATCGAATACAATTTAAGACTTTACTTTCTCCGTTATTATTTTTTGGTAAAATCGAGGAATTTTTTTATACATTACATTTGGCTATTATGATCCTGATATCCCAACTAATATTATAAATGCGAAAGTAACTCTGTCTGTCTGTCTGTCTNGTAACCTAAAAGTAACCATTGCAGTTCAAAAGTAACCTAAAAGGTTACAAAAGTAACCTTCTGGCAACACTGGGATGATGATTTTTTTTTAAATTTAAAATGTCAAAACAATTTTTGACGTATCTATGGAAAGGTGTTTTCTTTTTCATAGAAATTTTACGACTTTGGATAAATATCCATACGGCATGGAAAGGTGTGTTTTTTCTCTGGGTGTGCCTCCGCTGCCGGCGCCGGCGGCTGATTCGGCAGCCGGCGCCGGTCGCTCATTTGGTAACCGGCGCCGGACGCTGGTTGCACACTGACTGTTACATTTCTAAGTAGGTATTTTTCGATAAGTCAATACTACATTAGGTAAAAGTATAATAATTTAAGTCCTCCTTGATAAGTTGGTTATATAAGTCTTTTAGAGTTATTTTGCATCAAGTTTGTTTTTGAATTATTTTGATCTAATACATTTTGGGATATTATTAATCGCACATCAAATAACTTATCGTACATCAATTTATTTTCATCAATTTAAATAATTTTTACATCAAATAAATTATTTCATTGCAAATTAAAAAAATGTTTAACAAAACTAGTACTACAAATAATACGAAAAGACACATCAAAAGTGTGGGTACTACATTTTTTTCTCAAACGCGCAACAAAAAAATTGTTTGATGTGCAAAAATATTATTGTCTCATCAAATATACTAATTGCACAGCAAATTTACCAGATCGTACATCAGTAATACTCATACTCATCTCAATATAATAATATGCATTTTAAAAGTTGCTCAACAATAATGTCTCAAAATTTCAGAGAACTTGTTCGGCAAATTTAATAATAATTACCCAAATCAAAATAATGTTCTTTGTATAGTATTATTTCTTAAAGTTGAACTGAAAATCTATTTTGCGTCTTTTCTAACACTTTATGCCGTTCAATAATGCAGTCCTGACGACCCACAGACATGAGTCGGCGACTTTTCGCCGACAAACAAAAACGGTGACATGATTTGTTTGAAATAAGGCAGCCGCACCAAGTCGCCGGACTTGTTGTATTGTGTACAAGTGAGATGGATTTAAAAAATGCAGGATGAATGTTAAATGTACCTAANTTTGAAATAAGGCAGCCGACACCAAGTCGCCGGACTTGTTGTATTGTGTACAAGTGAGATGGATTTAAAAATGCAGGATGAATGTTAAATGTACCTAACTGTCCCCTTTTTTTTAATAAAGTACATTATGCAAGTATTTGTAGGGCTTGCAATTCGACTCAAGTATGTCACATCGCCTGCAGAGGCCAAAAATATACCTATTGGATAAAAACGCAAGCATGGACGTTCGATTATTATAGCAAATAAAATGATATTTCATTTAGATAAACTGCAGTGCACGATAGAAAAATTGAGAGTATTTTTTTAAATAAATGATGTAATACATTTACTGTGCGCAAGTTATTATTAGCTATGCATTCATAAAACAGCTTCACTTTTTAAATAAATGCGTCACGAACTTAAATTGCTGCTAAGATTTTAATATTTTGAGGTAATTATTTTGCTGTGCAATCAGTATTTTTGCTTAGAATTCGGATTTTTTTAGTATGCCAAAGGATGATTTTTTGACTTGCAGTTAAGTAAATACTACCCATGCATTTTTTATTAGCGTCTGCTTTTAAACTAACAGTGCCTGTTTTTGGCAATTTTAATATTTGCTCAGAAAGAGAATTAAAATAGGACTTAGATGATTGATGATTGTGTTTTTCATTCATTTCTACTTTTAACTTTAAGAATCTTCTGATTGGCACTTCGGCCGAGAAATATTATAGCTAGTCGCTTCACAATCTTGTTTCAGAGTAGTGCATTTTCTAGAGAATAAGACGAATATTCATCACCGACTTTCATTTTTATATCAAAAACATGTAGAAACACACGAACTCGCAGCTATCGAAAAACAATACTAACAAACTTTTAAGTAATAAAAAAGTACGGCTTCGGAAACTAGCTTGCACTTGACAACCCTCTGTTGCCGGTCGGTTGCCTTCTGAGTGCCAGCGCCGGCAGCCGTTTTGACTGCGCCGGCCGGCAGCGTATCACCGCCGGTTGCCAATCGCGATATATTTGGGAACCGGCGCCGGCAGCGCAGGCACTACTCCCAAAAAAAAAACTCTCTAATCTGTGTATCTCACTAACCACAGATTAGAGAGTTCACTAACCAGCT